CATCACTGCCTCCACCTCGACAGCAGTTCACATGTTGCCCTTCTTGGTCATCTGACACTCTCCACATACGTAAAAAGGTTTTGCTGGTATATTTTAAAGCAACTTCCAGATAAGATGTATATCATGTGTAAATTACTTTTTAAACATGATAGTATTATTATAGCACTAAGCAAAATTAATGATAGTTCTGTACTATCATCTCATATTTAGACCATGTTTCGTTGCCCCCCATTGTTTCAAAAATGCCTGTTTGCAATCAATCTGTTTAAATCAGGGTTCATGAAGTTTTCCACATTGCATTTAGTTGGAACATTTCTTAGGTCCCTTTGAAACCAACAATTCTGTCTCCGTTTTCCAGAGCATTTCTTCGTTTATAAAAGTGGCGTTCTTACTTTATTTTTCCAGCAAATGCTCAGTGTTGACGGGCTAAGCTGGCCTGATACATGTGTAACCCACCAGTCAGTCACATGGGTGACTCCCTGGCTTTCAGCCTGCTGGAAGCAGCCTCTCCATGACGCTTAGATAAAAATTGCTGGGCCTGGGTGCACTGTCCCTCTCTGGAGCATGCCAGTGCCTGCCTTTCTCTCCCCCTCCTGCCATCCCCCAGGCATGTTACCTTTTCCTTTCCCTCTCCTAAGCTCCAAGGGCCCTTCTTCTGCCTCTCTAACTTTTTTTGGGAACCTACACAGCTCATCTGGTTCCTTCCTTCCTTCCTTCTTTCCTTCCCTCCTTCCTTTCTCTCTCTCCCTCCCTTTCTCTCTCTCTCTCTGTCTCCCCCGCAAAGACTACATTTCTTTATTTTTAGGGAGATGGAAAGAGAAGAAGAGAAACACTGAGCTGTCAGAGAAGCATCAATCAGTTGCCTCTCTCACACCCCCAGCTGGAGACCTAGCCCACAACCCAGGCCTGTGCCCTGACTGGGAATCAAACTCGTGACCTTTTGGTTTGCATGTCGACACCCAACCCACTGAGCCACACCAGTCAGGGCTGGCTCACTTCTACTACCTCTGTCACTTTTTAAATAAACTCTCTCATATAGTTTGAAAAAACATTACTATGCCTCAATAAGTACAATAAAATGATCAATAAAATAAATGGATATAATCAACAGAGAATTAAATATGGAATTTTACTTTACAATAATCATTTGATATGTGCTAACCTCACACTAAGCTTTCATGGTGAACTATTCATAAGGCAGCATGGTTTGGGGCCCATCTTTCTAAAGAGACCTCAGCCCAGAAGAGCACTTGCATAATCATTATACACAAGGTATGTCTGCTCTACCTGTAAGTGCAGATATAATTGACTGAGTAAATGGAACATTTTGATGTGCTAGTAAACCATGCTTAGTATGAGGAATCTTTTCTACTGTTAAAAGCACCCTGGTTTTAGTGCCTTAAGATGTGATTTTTAAGATTTATAAAGTTGAGAGACCAGATGGCTTCCTTTCCAAACATTTATATTTTTCTCAGCCCAATAGCAGGAAGCTCATTTCAGATTGCATTCCTGTGTTAGAATTGTTGCATTTCCTCTCCGTCAGAATAGAAACAAGTTGAGATGTGTGATAAATTTTCAATACACTGTATAAACTGTGGTATTGCTACTTGTTTGCATAATATTGCATGAGTGATTCATTCGAAGTACACTGTCTAAAATCTCAGATATGAGGAGTGGAGTGCTGAGTGGGTTTTAGAACAGATATGGGAATTTTGCATTTTTTTCTTTTCAACTAGTCAAAATACTAAAGATTTTATGTACTGCAGGTATGTAGAGAAAACAACTTTAGATTTATGCAAATAGGATAGAGCTGCACAAAATTAATTTATTTCTGGAATGGTGTTGGTAATGGTTTTATTTATTTATTTATTTTGATATTACTCAATGTGATGAGAGTTGGAGCAATAGTGAAAGACTGTGAGAAACCACCTTAGAGAGAGAACCTTAATGGAGAACCTACGGCAATTTCATATAGTTTCTCAAAAGATTTATAATCAGGTCTGTTTCGGAGTAGGTAGAAGTAGTCTTATTTCAAGGAACCCAAGTTTAGTTTGATAATTTTCTTTTAGTTATAAACAGTGTAACCTGCTACAAAGCTTAGAGTTCTGATGTGGTCAAATCTCTCATTTTCCAAATTTATCATTCTTGAGGTTCCTACCTATCCTGATTAGCAAAAAGTCTGATTTATTCCTCTTTATCAACCCTTCCTCTTGAGCCTCCTTGGGGCAACTTTGCCCACAAGCCACCTGAGCTAAGTTTGAAGTGTTTAAGGAGTCAACCCTTCTTCCACAGGTATAGCAAGAACTGCACAGTCACATTAGCTCATGAACAATACCACATCCTAGGAACTGGTCCTATACCAATCCACAGATAACATTTTTCCAACCCCTTTTGGTCCACTCCTTGTATGGGTCCCCTGGAGCTTCCTTAGCTCATTAGCATAAGTTCAGTCATTTTTTTTTTTCCCAAAGCTTGGCACAGAGCCAGGGTGACTGGGCACCAAAGGACTTTCCATCTTAGCCACAAGTGTCAACCAGACCCTTCTTCGTGTCTTCATTACTGAAACCTATTGGGTCTTCAACTTGAATATGCATTAGGAAACATGAGCAGCTTGAAAAAATGCAGATTCCTTGACCCCACACATAGAATTCTCCTTCAGGGGCTCTGGAATGAATCCAATTAAAATGTTATTTTAATAGTATTCCAGGTGTTTCTGATGCAAGTGCAAATATATTACCTACTAGAGCAGTGTTCTCAATCCACTGATACATATTTGAATTATTTGGGCACTTTAAAAACTTGTTAATGGCCCTGGCTGATGTGACTCAGTAGATTGAGTGCCAGCCTTCAAACCAAAGGGTCGCTAGTTTGATTCCCAGTCAGGTCACATGCCTCAGTTGTGGGCCAGGTCACCAGTGGGGTATCGTGTGAGGGGCAACCACACATTGATGTTTCTCTCTCTCCTCCTCCTCCCTTTCTTTCTCCCTCCCTTCCTTCTCTCTAAAAATAAATAAATAAAATATTTAAAAAATAAAAAGATGCTTTGAGCTCGGGCTGTGAACCAAAGTGTCGCAGGTTCGACTCCCAGTCAGACCACATACCTGGGTTGCAGGCCATGGCTCCCAGCAACCACACATTGATATTTCTCTCTCTCTTTCTCCCTCCCTTCCCTCTCTAAAAATAAATAAATAAAATCTTTTTAAAAATAATAAATAAATAAAAATAAAAATATGCTAACGCCCAGGACCCTGTCTTCCATCAGTTAAATCAGAATGTTTGAGTTCAGCAAAGGTGTGGACATTTTCCAAAAGCTGTGCTGGTCATTTTAATTGCAGCCTGATTTGAGGCCCATCCTGATTTGAGTCCCATTATCTGAGACTGGAATGATCAGCACAGATCACCAGCCATCTCCTCTCCCAAGTTGTGAGAGTCTCTTTGGGGCACTTAATGTTTTTCTTGTCACATAACCTTCATGAAGGCCACTATTGCCCACTCTCCCAGGTTTTCATGTCTTCAAAATTCAGGGACCCCTGTTTTGTTTTGTTTTGTTTTTCTTTTCTTTTTTTTTCCCCATAAAATTGGCTCTTCCAGGGTTGTGAATATTAAATGAAGAGATATCTATAGCTAAGAAATAGGTGATTATTCACCTACATTTGTACAATTATGTAACTTTTCCTGTAGCAGTTGCAACCAATTGAGTTCACCTACACAGAGAAGGCCTTCCCTTGCTAGAATTGTTATGACCTTATACACACCCCAGCACACAGCCCTACACTACTAGCTGTCAGTCTTACTGTATGGATTTGGAGAGTGTTGTCTAACCTGGGACCTTCTGTGTCTTCACTCTAATTTGGGATCAAAATACCAGACCCCTTCACCTTAGCTTCATCTGACAGAATCCTGAGCAGAGCAGAGATCAGCCATGTCACCCTAGACCATAAACCCGAATAGACCATGTAAATCAGTCTGGCTAAGGCCATTGAAGCTAGTTCAATAAAGACTTAACTTTAGAACCAAGGTATAAATGTTTCATCTGCTTCCTCAATAAATGAATGAATTATTTTAAAACCAACAGCAGAGATGGCAGAGGGAGAGAGGGGATTTTAAACATCACCTGCTCTTTTTAAGTCCTGTTCACTTTAAAGCAGTTGTACATCTATGTTGAATAAGTAATGACACTATGGCATGGTTTATAGAAATCAGTAAAGCAATTCGTAATATATATGAATGAAAATTACTTGATGGTTTTAAGCGTACATATGTAATTGTGGAGATATCAATTATAATATGATAGATTAAGGTTGCTAAAAGTTTTTATTTTAATTTTTGGTTGATATTTGTGCACGTGAAGAAGTTTTAGCTGGAGGGATTGGGGGGGGCTTCGACACTGCCCCCTCCCATTAACCACTTGAGAGCCATCCCAACAAACTTCCAATGTAAAAAATAAAATAAAAAATAAAAAATATGGAAGTGCAGCTTCAAGACAAACTGTGAACATCCACTTCCCACCCAAACCTTCCAGTCAACTCGCCGCCACTGAGACCCTTCTGGGCAGGAGCCCCGCAGTGGCCAGTGATGTGGGAGCGATTGTTAGAGGTGTGTGGCGTCTCCCCGCACCTCTAGGAATAGCCTGCGTTCAACATAAACTATTATCACCACCTATGTATTATTCATTTGTCTCCTAAATAATTCATTTCTAAATACACTCCACATGTGACTTGAAATTCTTAATAGCATGTAATAAAAATGGCTGAATGCCAAGTGCGTGTGCTTTTTGGTGTCATAAAAACCACTGGGGTTATCTGTGATTTTTTTTTTTAATTTGTGCCATCAATTTAATGACTACTGTGATTATTAGAAACACTCTCGCTAGTTTTCTGCTGAAAATAAAGAATTAAAAAAGGATTCCTCTGACTGCTTAAGAAAATGTTAATTCCTAAATTGTCGAGTGATCACAGACATTCAGACTTGCTCTAAACAGCTCTGTGCTTTTCCTTTAGCCATCTCCTGTCGAAGGCAAGACGGAGGACAGGCTGGCATCCAGGAATGCCTCCGGTATGCCGGCCCTGTGCCAGCCCTCACCCAGGCCTGCCAGGTCCCCTGCCAAGATGACTGTCAGTTCACCAGCTGGTCCAAGTTTTCTTCATGCAACGGAGACTGTGGTGCGGTTAGGACCAGAAAGCGCACTATTGTTGGTAAGAATAATTCATTGGAATGCCTGTCGAGGTACAAAAACAAAACAAGTCAGACCAAGAGAGTTCTGACAATGTATCTGGAAAATGCATGGGTATGCCTTATTGTTGGTATACTTATATAAATGTGCATATACATATATTGTGTATATATAAGTATACCAACAATAAGTCAATGGATTCCAATGTGTGTTTTCATGTAAGTTGGCAGGGCAGACACATTGTGTAATTTTGGTATGAAGGAAAAGTGACCTTGAAAATCAAACTCTGTCTTCCTATGACAGTACTTGGAAGGTTATCTTTTGTTTTAAGTATGTACTTTTGCTGGATTGCCTACAGACTGTGCAGTGTTTGGAAAAAGTGTTTGGGAGCAAGAGGAAAGGTTGCCACTTCATTTTCCTAACCCATTCTCACTGTCACAGCCTCACTTATCCTTTACACCCTAGCAGAAGACTATGGCATTAATTCTGTATCTCAAAACTGCATTTTAAAAGGCAGTCACAGTGACAAAAAAAAAAAACAGAACAGTGATGTAATGAGCAAGAACAAGAGCCATTGTACTGAACTAAACCCTGGTGCATTCAAAAATACCCTCAGTTGGCAAAAGAAACGTAAAAATATTGGTGCTAGTAGACTCATCAGAATTTAAAAGTTATAAAATAAGCCACCTGTCATAATGAAAACTATATGCCCTGGCTTATAAAAGTTACAGATAAATATATGTAAAACATACATAACTAATGATGGTCAATATAATTAAAGAGTCTATAATATATGATACCACATAATAAATATAAACATATATGATTTAATTAAAATAATGATATATAATTTTTAAACACATGTTACTGTTATATGTCAGGGTCTTATTTTAACAGGGAATTTATTTACATATATGTACAAATCATTTCTAATATTTTAGGCTGATATTAAATACCTTCATTTTGAATATTATTTTGATATTTCCTGTATTAATCACCAACTATGTCAAAGTGACTACTCTTCAGAAATGCTGAAAAATGCAAAATCATACTCAGAAAAATAAATACAAAAATCTCATTTTCTGGATTGCAGTCCTTTATAGTTGTATCATCTATTTGGAATTCACAAAAAAAGCTGTGAAGCTCAGGGTGGTGACTCTCTCCATTTCGTATCGTAAAGGAGAGATGTAGGCAGGTACCTCCCACTTCCCAGTCAGTGAAAACACATGATCCTTTGGGAGGATTTTAATCATTTTAAAAAATATAAAAATCACCACAACAGTGCCTAATGTAATGAGCTATTTTTAAAAGGGAAAAAAAATTTCACTATGCAAAGCACCTGACACTAACAAAAGCCTAGATAAAAAGCACTGTGGGTGAGAAAATAGCATTTATTTATAGGCTGCTGTAGAACAGGGCTAAAATGGACAAAGGTAGTTTAGGAAAGGAGAAAACGTAGGGGCAGCTTGAAAGTAATAATGATATTTTCCAACTGAAATTTCTCCACAGGAAAAAGTAAAAAGAAGGAAAAATGTAAGAATTCTCACGTGTACCCTCTGATTGAGACTCAGTACTGTCCTTGTGACAAGTATAACGCGCAGCCCGTGGGGAACTGGTCGGACTGCATTTTACCAGAGGGGAAAGTGGAAGTGCTGCTGGGAATGAAAGTGCAAGGAGACATCAAGGAGTGCGGGCAAGGCTATCGTTACCAAGCAATGGCATGCTACGATCAAAACGGCAGGCTGGTGGAAACGTCCAGATGTAACAGCCATGGTAACCCAGTTTTTCTTCACTGTTACACATTCACTGCTTTGGGAGGTGGAGGTAAATTGCACATGTATGAGAACGGAGGGAAATGAAGGCTTACATTATTATTTTTGAAATTGAACATTATGGGGCACCACCCTGTACACATAGTATTTATATATAACAGGACATTTGGTAGCACTTGTCTCATCCGGGAGTTGACCATTGAGTCCCAAAGTTAGTAGCAAAGAAACTTTATGGGTAGGCAGAATGGTGCCAGCGCCTCCTTTGAGGTTAAGAGTATGTTGAATAGACCCAACCATCCCCAACAGGTGTCTGTACAGAAAGAAAGGGAGGAGATTTCAATTGAATTTAATTTGAGAATCAAGTTTTAAACCAGACAAATTTTTAATAACCAAACTGACAAGATTTGCAATCTGCCTAAAATGTCAAGTGTCAGAGAAGAAAGATTGAAAGCCGTAACTGGTGAAAACTCACAAATATTTGTTTATTGCTCATTGAGTTGAGATTGGCAAAAAAAAAAATACCCTTGGGAAACTTTGCACATTTTTTTACTTCTAATCCTAAATAAATAAATAGCTGAAAAACTGTGATGATAATTTAGTTGCCAAAAGTTTGTGAAGAGTGGTCATCTTTGGCCAACGTATGCAGTGAGCTCTTTGGTTCTAAGTCTTGGTATAATCAGCCTTCAACATTGTTTCTCCATTACTCTTTTATTTTAATACAAGTGTCTTTTTATAATGGAATGAAATCAGTTTACTGTGGGTCAGCCTGAATCACAGAGGTTGCATATTTGCAAATACAAGACAATGATCCTCCTACCTTCTTCATGGAGGTGACCTAGGAAGTCAGGTTCAATTGCTAGGAGGGGGTTCCATGGCAGGTAACTTCCGGTCTTGCTGAAATAATTTCTGTTGGAATGGTGCTCCTCTAGTTTTATTCTATGGTTCAGAAAACATTATGAACTAATAGGACCATCTCACCTTTAAAAACCATCAGGGTATCATAGTGACACATTGATTGGAATCTTTTATACATGTTCTTACAAGGAAGTTTCCAAAAAAACCTTATCTGTTTATTAACCCTACCTCATAGTTCCTGTTTTATCAATGTAGAGTGATGTAAGTCTCAAAGTTTCCATGATATTGAAGCTCTAGATGTATTTTTCAGCTTAATATATGTGCATTGGGAAGTTTATGATTATTCCATATATTTAGAATAATAACTATAAAAGAAAAAGAGTTTATTGCTGCTAATAGGCACACTTTGAAAAACATCTCTAAGAGTAACTATTTTATTCTCTATATCAAATAACAGAGGTGCTATAAACTAGATACTAGGAAAAATGCAAATGTACTTCTCATTCAGAGATGATACGATGATAATATATAAGATTGTAATTAGTCATTAAAATGTAAAATTGAAGATTACTTTAAAAATGTGTTTCTCCTGGAATGTAGCAGGTAGGTGTTTGCTCACACTTAAAATTGTTATGCATAGTGAACCACCAAGATAATCATGTTTCGCACATAACCAGTGAGCTTGCAGAACGATTCTCATATATTCCCGCTTTTACCCTGATCTGTTAATGAGATGCAGGAGTGCTTCTGCACTCCTTAATTTTAGAAAAAACTTTTAGAATATCCCATGACTGCCACAAAAATGTCTGAGCAGATAAAAAAAGTAAAAGGGCAAAAATAATTGAAGGTTGGCAAAGGCAGTAGAGTTCCCAGCTTAGTATTGTCGATTCGAAGCACAAAGAAAGCAACACTGCATTCTGGAAGAAAAGTACATAGAGAAAAACGATGGGCCCTTGATAGCACTGATCTTGGTGAGGATTTCGAAAGGGTCTAAGATCCTTCCTAAGTGAACTGTTCCAGTTCAGTTCTTTGTGTCTGTCCAACACTATTCCTTCTTTATTAAATCCGACCTATGATGGATGTCCAATGGAATATTTTAGTGTTTACTAATGTATTTACTCCAAGAAAAGCCTGAGGAATTTCTATTGCCTAATTCCTTTGGAAATTATTACTTTTTAAATATGTTCTGTCAATTCTGATGGTGTCAGGAAACTGCCATAACTTTGGCCCTCTGTCCCAGGCATGCGCTAATGTGCGGTTTCTATGTCCACTGCCTCCTCTCAGTCAAATCAGCTTTACAGATGGATGGTAGAAATGCCATTTTTAAGTTGCTCTCAAGAAAAAGTCTCTTCCTACTTTCAGGTTAAGTATGGAATTGACTCCCACATGTGTGTAGTACAGAGACACTACTCCCGTCTTCCATAAGGACCTCAGGGCATTTCTATTTAATGTGCATTGTTCACCTGTGGATCATATTATCATTTATTTTACTGACAAAGCAATTTTACTTTTACCAGTTTAATTATATTATTTTAGGCCATTTCGCATGTAGTCACTCTTTTTTTAATGTCTTAACTTGAGGCACAATTCTATTAGGCCTGGAATTCTTCATAATAGTAGATTCTGTATATTGAAAAGCTATACCCATTCTCCGAAAATCAGATCTGAAAGTATAACTTGGGAACCACATAAATATTCATTCATCTTTATAAAGGTATTAAATATAGTTCCTGCACAAATGTTGATATATAAATACATTTCTGGCATTTATTCTAAAAGCATAATACAAATTATATGCATTTCCTTTGGTATGAAACTTTGTATAGTATCACTATAGCAACAGATTTTAAATCTCTCAAAAACCAAATCACACATTTTCTACTCACTGCTAGAATCCTTTAAGGTCTTAATTAATTGGTTTACTAGAAGTTATTGAATGTCTAACCACATAGTACTGGGTACTTCTTAATCACTTAAAATTTCACAGAACAAGAGGTAGAATTCCTGAAACTTTTTTTATTATATCATTTAACCTTGATATTTTAAAGAATCTTAGAAGTAACCAAGCTCGTATGCAAGGTACACGTACTCAAGATTTCCATGAAACAGGAGTGGTAGCGTTTTACATGCTGCTGCCTCCGCCCTACCCCACTGTCCCCAAGTCCCTGATCCTGCTCTTCACCTTGTGTTTCTAAAATATATGTCACTCTGTAACATATCACATAACTTACTTCTTATGTTTCTGAATTATGTTTTATCTCCTGGACATGAATATAGATTGATGAGGGTATTTTATTCACTGCTGTAGCCCAAGCACCTAGAACAGTGGGTGCCCAATAAATATCTGTAGGGTAAATGAGTAAGTGAAGAGCTGGAGAGAATTTTTGTAGTTGCATTTGATTCACAATTAGGTTTAGACACTTCCTTTTTTTCCCCAGACTGTCCTTCTGTGTCAGATTTCTGGGAAATAATCAGACAGATCATTGAGAAAAAATAAGATCTGTGGAAGAAGAGCTTTATGTGGCGCAAACTTTTTGACACTTATCAAATATCTGTGCTTCTCTCTACCTACTTAATGGGAGAAAAACTAGTAGTCACACACCTACTTTACTGAATTAGTCCCATAATATCAACATTGGTGAGACTCCTGATTGCCACTTAAAGCTTATTCAAAATTGCCTGATTTGTATAACACTGAGTTTGGACAATGGCTTACCCTCTTGGTTTATATCATATTAGTAACTGTGACAAACTGCATTTTCCATGCCTGTGTTTACACAACCTGTGCAAACATGTGCTTGCGCAATCTGTACAAACCTGTGTTTCCCAACCTGTGTTGTTAATTGAGAGCATGCGGTGTTTATTTAAGTCTGTTTGTTCCCACTCACCTTTCCTTGAGAAAATAAGGAATAACATTTCTATTTAATTTATTCAGATGGGATACTTAGAAATTGAATTCGATAAAGTGTAAAAATGCCAAATGTTCAAGTATGGAGCTCCATGACCTGTGTAATTCACTTCAGACACTTCTCTTCAGTCTTCACCCTCAGCAAATTTGTCTTTGCTGTTTCTCATTGGCAGGTCATGCCATAGTGCACTATCAATATGTGTTGTAAAATTGAGCTTAATTATATTTGTGATGTTAATACCTATTAATATCAAGTAGCAGAAAGGCTTATCTGTTACCTTACGGCTGTTTTTCCTGAACCCAAGCTGTTTAATATGCATAGCTTTCCTGTCGCCTAAAAGTAATATGTCTGTTGCTACCTATCAAATACTTGCCAACAGGGAGAGAGAGATCATAAGAAAACTAAAGAATCAGCTATTGGGTTAATTTGTCACCAAATGTTTTCTTAAAAGGCCAGATAGCAAATGTCTTAGGTTCTGCAGTCCAAAATGTCTCTGTCACAACTACACAGCCCTGCCATGATGGCATGAAAGCAGCTATAGACAATATGTGAGTGAATGGCATGGCTGTGTTCCAATAAAACTTTATTGGCAAAAACAGGCTGCCAGACTGTGCTGTCATTTGCCAACTGGAATGTAAACCCTTGCTACTCAAAATGTGGTCCCCAGCCCAGCAACATAAACACCACAGGGGAACTCTTGGAAATGCAGAAGTACAGCTCCTGTTGCAGACCTGCTGAGTCAGAATCTGCGTTTAGACACCATTCCCCGGGGGAGTGTTTCTCTTACCCATCTGAAGTCGACTTCGTTGGATCACGCAGACACTCACAGGGTTTGGTAGGGATCATGATCTGGAACCTTGGAGGCAAAGGCCTGTGGAGATCACCTCCTATAGATCCTCAACCTGATGCTGCCTTGGGCAAAACCATGAGCACCTCCCTTGTGAGATTCACTTGATTACCAGCTGTGGGGACAATTAGGAAATGTTTGAAATTATAAGGGCAGGTCTTCATAAGATGAATGACTACTTAAGATATGATTTTGAAAACAGAATGAGTCTATAGGACTTTCTGTGGAAAGGATATTGGCAATTTAATGATTGCCCTGAGGGAAATCTTTTCCAGTTCAGACGAGAACTGAAGGAGAGCTCTGGGTTTATTTACTGCCTGATTGGTAAACACAATACCCTGTTTTATTACAGTGTTGTGCACATTTCACTTGGTGCACTCCATAGCCATG